TATATATATATATATATATATATGTACGCGCACATGTGTGTTGGTATGTGTATGTGTGTGTACACACATCCCTGCTGGAAATCTCGTCATGATGGAAAGATTTGGAACGAATATATACTTATGGGACATGAGCATTTTTGAAACAATCTATATAAAGAGATTTTCACTGGGGATGTGTATATGTATATTCTTTTTCATGGGCATTTGATTTTTACGAGACAGTCAAAGAACTGTCAAGAGTCAATAATTCCATCTACTGTAAAATCACGATTCATTTCAGAACTCGAAAGTCGCAATAAAACTCATACCGAGGAACAAAGTGGAGATTTCAAGACCTTTGTTGCTGGAGCTAAAGCGGGTAAGTAGCTGACTTCGCAAACGCATGTCGAGCTTCATAAATTCTTGTCAATTTCAATTTGTCAAACATAACTCTTTAGCATACACTTTGCAATTCTCTCAATAACGATTCTCAATAAATCATTTTTCTCTCCGCGTAATTTCTTCTCCAGTAACCGATTGCATGTAACGGGCTTTAATTCATATGAGTGGTGATGTTGGTGACTTTCACAGATGAAGGATCTCCAGCATGATCATCTTGTACGATTTTACGGTGCCTGTCTCGAGCCGCCGCATTGTTGTCTCCTAACCGAATACTGCCCCAAAGGATCTCTTCAGGTGAATTGCATTTCATGTCCCGATTTAAAGTTTTGATGAGCAATCAAGTAAATAATTATGTCCCACGTGTCATCAAATTAAGGCAAAATAGACATACATTGCTGTAGAACGTCAAAACTTATGATTTGATTTTGAAATAGCAATCCGTTTCTAATAAAAAAAAATTAACACAATAATTATGAATAACTATGATTTTGATTCAGTTAATTTCAATAGGATATTTTGAAATTTACAAAAAATATACATATATTATAAATAAATATATTATGATAAAGAATAATTCCTCCTTTTCATTAAAAAAATGATTAAAATATTGTTATAAAATATGAAACATTTTGTATATGTAGTGTCATGTCTATATATCAAATAATATCGGAAACGATATACATACTGTGTTAATACCCGAAGCGTATGTACGACTAAGCGTAGACTATTAATGCATTTGTCTATAAGCATTGCAGGCGTTCTATATATGAAACAAAAGCTCCATTTTATTGAATACTTGTCTTTCCTTATAGTGTAACTTTAAGTACTCGTTTGAATTATTAATTTGCCTTGTCTGAATAACCATTTTAAACATGAATGAAACTTGAACAGTTGTTCGAAGAAACTTTATGTTAAAGGAGCCGCACGAAATGTAGAATATTTTATACACATATTGAATACGTATTTAAAGACATATATAACAATATTAAAGCGTACAATATATATTCAAACGTTTGATCTAGATGTAAAGAATATCGCATAAGAATTAACAATGTGCGCTACACTAGTATGTTAACCTTTTGTTATTGGACAGGATATACTAGAGAACGAACAGATAAAGCTCGATCGCGTGTTCAGAGGATCCCTGATACACGATATCGTGCGTGGTATGGTATATCTCCATGCATCGGAAGTGAAGAGTCACGGTAATCTCAAGTCTTCAAACTGCGTTGTTGATTCACGATTCGTCCTGAAAATCGCCGACTTCGGTTTGCATGAGCTGAGAAGAAGCGCAGATGTGGATTCAGATGGTGATAAGAACAGTTACGCCTATTGGAGGAGTACGTATTTGCAAATTGTTTACGCCTCCATTAGTCCGAATCTACAATAGATTTTTAAATCTTTAATCCGCAAACACAATAGAGTAGTAAGCCTTAAGCCTGAAGGAATTGACCAATCATAATCGATTATTCTTCTCACATTCGACTGTAATTGATCAATTTCTTGTATTTGCGAAGTAAGCCATAAGAAATGGACGAACCGTAGTCAATTATTCTCCTCGCATTCGACTGTAATTTCTTACGGCTTAAGGCTTAAAACATCTATTGTAGATCTAGATTTAAACATTTCCGAGAGATAATGTTTCTTCAACGATCACTAAAATAAGAGTTAATAGTTATCAAATGTTAATTGAAATAATTCAATTAAAATAATTCAGTTAATATAGTAAAAAATAATTTTACTTTTCTAAATATTTAGTAATTATTACCAAACAATTGATTATATTATTGTGTTTGATAATACTAAATATTTAGGAAAATAAAATTATTTTCGATTATATTATATCGAAAATTTGATTGAAATTATTTCACTCAATATTTAGTAACTATTATTAGATTCTTTTTTCGGTGTTGCAACGCCAAATATTTTTCAAACGCATAGAAATACGGATAGAGAAATAGAGATATTAGAATCAAAATAAACATATAAAACTTATGTTATGACAATTTAATTATTTGGACAAACAACATTTTGTCGCATGTCTCACACATGCGTGGGAAAAACAGATATCAATAATTTCTGACGTATAACAGAAATTTTAAACGCGACAAATATTTTTGATCTCAACGATGTTTTGATTTATAATTTATATTTACAATAATCATCGAACGCATGGAAAAGGAAAGAGAGACTGCGTTAAATCGCTCTACCCGGTCTGATTTTTTAGTGCAGGAAATTTGGTGTTTACAGAACAGCTTTGGACAGCTCCGGAATTGCTGAGGATGGAGAGACAACTGCCCGAAGGCACTCAGAAAGGTGACGTGTACAGCTTTGCTATAATCGTTCACGAGATCGTGATGCGCCAAGGGCCATTCTACTTGGGAGACAATAACGAACTCTCTCCAAAGGGTAAGTCTTAATGTCATTCGAGATAATCGTGGATACCAAAGCAATTGCCTCTCGTCACGTTTCATAATACAGGAATAAAAATTGATCTCTTGTTAGCGTTGCACTTTATTCTTTTTGATATGCATGACTTGCACTAGTTTAACTGGAAGCAACAAGTTCAGAATAACTGTAAAAAATTTGCAATTATATCTTCTTATCATTTAAAAGAGATAACAAAAATCATTTTAATAAGCAATTTTCAGTGTTATAAATCGAAAAAATAAACCAATATATATAAATATAGATATATGTATACACAGAATATATATAGAAAAAAAATATATAAATATGTTAATTAAGAAAAATAAAATTTATTTATGTATTGGGTTGTCTGGAAAGTTTGTGCCGACTAACCTATACAATTTAATAAATGTATACTAAAATTTAAATTTTCTGCGTTTCAATTTTCCTTCAACAT